TTTCAGAAATGGATGCAATTGGGGGGTTGGAAATATATAGCAAATATAGTTACACTGACTTTTTTGAGGTTTTGGGTTTCGAAAATGCTATAAAAACCAAGAAAAACGATCCTTTTCCTGTAGTCTGGATCCCTGACTCCATATAAGAAGAAACAGAGCAGTTTACATACATTGGGGAATTGTAAGGTCAGGGAACCAGTCTAGCTGGCTCGTACCCGTTCATAGGTTTGTAATCGATTGCAAACAAGTGCGATGGTCAATTGGGGCCAATATTTGAAAAAAAAGCCAGTTTTTTCCAACGCTGATTGGCCGATCAGCGTTGGAAATTTATACAAAAATACCACTTTTCTTGCAAATGACAGTATACAAGGTGCCATGATTTTACAGGATGCTTTACACTGTCATTCACTAACAGTCCAGCAAGGTATTTCAAAATGATTTGGTAGTTTTATTTTTGATGTTTGCAAATGTTGTATTTTCCCTTTAAAGGACGCTTGTGTAGACGTTTATAATCTACTTTTCAATGCTCTTTCCATTTAATATCAATTTGTTAAAAATGCCTTTAGTAGCCCAATTGGGCGCATTCCAGGCCGCAGTGTCCCTTTAAAATAGCCAATTCTTAGGCACAGATACAATTTAATCTAAAATAATACACAAAGCACAAGTTGTTTTTCCCTGTAGTTATTGAATTATTTCTTTACAAAATTTGAATTACGACAAGATTTACAGTGTTTGTTTTGAATATTAATTAAAGACTGCCCCATGCTCTTCAAAAAAAAATTCCCCTAACAACTTTTCATTTTGTAGTTGTATGTATTGTTTTTGGCATCTGCAACGCTCTGAAACAGGGCTGTAATTTTGTTCACAAACGAACCCGCCCTGCCAGAGCCAACTTATTGCCTGACAGCTAATAATTTGCATGAAAGATAATTTAATAACTAAATGTCTGTTGATATTTTCGTTCGATATCAAATTCAAATGTGGATAAGTGTTATATTTCTAGGTAAAATAGCAACTGAATAAAACAAATACAAGTTTCGAAGTGAAATTTAATCTAGGACAGGGAAAGAATCTTTAAAAACGCTTTTAACTGATTCTGAAATCAGACATGAAGCGGCAACCAACCTTGGGTACAAACCCGGACAGATAACAACGGCTGATCGGTATCAAAATGGATCAGCAGGCTTGCTGGGAGGGCTGCGGCAAGATATAACAGCTGACTAAGTGTCAAAGGTCACATAACCCTTGGTTCTCAGTCCCTGTTTATAGACTTGTCCCAGTCTCTGTTATTCAAAGTCTTTCTTTTGTGTTTTCAGTTTCTTCAAGAAAACACGATTTACACAGTTTGGTTTTGCTGAAATCAGCAGCACGGCAGAGCATATCCAATTCAGTTATCGTTTTGGATTGTTTTTGGTTGGGGGATGTATGTATTTGGTCTTTACAGGAACAGCTCTGTGTTCTGTGGGCAAGTATGGCAGTCTATGGAATGTTGTGTCTGACACTGATCCTTGGTGACATTCACATACTATCATAGCCCTGCCGGAAGACCTGGGGTCAAACACAGGTAAATTAAAGTAGCCAAGTCCAAAAAAATCCAATTGGCTTTGTGTGTAAAGACTCAGTGGAGACGTGGAGTGAATGCGAAATATCAATAACTAGGGAAAAACAGTGTGAGGACCCAGTCTTCACAGCGTGATAATGACCATGTTGGGGGATGGCCGCTGTTAATGGACCAAGCTGAATATTAATAAATACATTTTTTAATGAAATAAACAGCTAAAATGCTCCGAATTTGTGACTTTTCTTTCGGCGATATTTTCAGACGTTCTGTGTTAATGTACAAAGATGCTCGGTTTAGAAAAAAAGGATGTGTAAAGACTGCCCTCAGTCGAGTGAATGTTATCAAATATCAGTAATCAATATAAAAGACAAATATGATCATTTGCATTAATATCCAAACAAGTAACCTACCAATTTATTATCAAAAACTCACTTGGATTAAAGATCGTACTGATACTAAACAATTCGCGACATCGCACGCGTAGTACAGCACGACTAATTAGTCGAAGTATGCACTGCTGATTTTATTCTGTTCAAGAGCATAGCATCTTAGCGTGAGCATCAGGTGTCGTCTGGAATGCGTTCGAATGTCTTTTCCGGTGGTCTCCCCAAACTCTCCCTTGCTTACCGTTGAGGGGGTACTTGTGTACAGAGCCCATTAGGGGAATCATTTTAAGTGAAAGCAAACATCAACTGCAGAGTGTGATGTTTTGGGAATCCAAGATGGCGGATAGGTTGCTTCGAGGTGCATTGGCCAATAAGCCAGTTCGGTATCTCAATGAAGTAGTCCAGGTCAAAGGTCATTCGGGATAAACTTGCTGACGCGATGTTATGCAACGTTACGCGAACACCCAGTCTGTGGCCATCTCCGTGTGCGTTCATCAGTTCATGCGCCTTCAATGAACATTCGATTATTCTGAATGACTCTTGACCCACATTACTGTGCCCATGCCCAGTTGAAATTATCCCGCGGAATATACCAACATTTATATAACAATATTCAGAATTTTTGATAAAACTGCATCATTCGGAACTATCAAATCTGTTGGGATGACTGTGGAGAAACTGAAGCCCATAATATGTTTTAGAAGGTGTGTTCAGGGTTTCAAACGAATTGGACTTGCAATGTTATGTTGCAATGTCATAACTGCAGCCAATAAAAAATGTGTTACTGTTCCCGTAAATATAGCCACCTTGAATTTTGGGGGTTTGTGGAGATTTTGATGAATTTTTTTTTCAGCATGGATATATCATTTTAAGATGAATTGAGTATTTTCTTGAACTGTTTCATTAAATGTTTTTTACTATCTATTCGGACAAATACTGACATTTTGAATATGGGTTAATATATGCTATGCCTAAACTATAATTTTAGCCCTACCATTATTGGTCCCAACTTTAAAGTTGGGACAGTAGTTGTTTGGTCCCAACTTTAGTTGGTCGGTCCCAAATTTAGTTGGAAGGTCCCATACTTTAGTTGGGATGATCCCAAACTTTAATTGGGACATTCCCAACTTGGGATGGTTCCAACTTTAGTTGGACGGTCCCCAACTTTAGTTGGACGGTCCCAACTTTAGTTGGACAGTCCCAACTTCTGTTGGAACTGTCCCAAATTTAGTTGGGAATTTGGGATGGTCCCAACTATAGATGGTCCCAACTACAGATGGGACGCAGTTACTCTATGCTCAGTCACACACAGGCCTATGGCATATTACAGAGAGGGCATTTACATAAAAAGATGTATACACATCTGTCACAAGTAATGCAAAATGTTAGAGAAACCAACACAGCTACAGATTTGCTGAATAAGCATTTTCACGGTTATAGGCCTATGCTGTGGATATCTTGCTCACAAGCAAAAAAAATGTGCTGCTGAGCACGCACGTCAATCAAAACCTTTCACGCTTCTAAGTCATCATGTGTTTATTCCAATGTGCGCCAGCGTCAAGCAACGTGTGTTCTTTTTGCCCTGTGATTGAACAAGATGGCGGGTACTGCAGTGACATTTCTCATTCTGCTGTGAATGCCAAATTCAGGACTTGGGCTAGCACAAATAGATGGGACAATCCCAACTTAAGTTGAGACAAATGATGTAGTAGGGGCGATATGAATATGGCAGTGAATATTTGACCTTGAACCGGTCCCTGATTGTTATCAGTATTGTACTGGCATGGTACTGAACATGCACATTGCGCAGTGACTGTTTTGGGGGATTAGAATCTTTTACTGTGAGTGAGTGGAATCTTTGTCTGCATTCCATGCTAATATTGTCGTTCTTGTGTAATTATAAGCGATGGGAATCAGACGGTTCAGACCCAATGCAATAAGCCATTTGCGAGTAACCTATACCCTTTGAGATTTACATTTGAAAAACATGTGGTACACTGACTTGCTCAGAATGCTTGGCACATTTTAACTTTGAATTCTCCAGACCAAAGACACTGTTGCTAATCACATGATTCGGGGCAAGCTCTTGCATAGTTACGTAAGAGACGGTCAGCACCAATACATTGTTCACAATGGGTGAGAATGGTACAAAGACACCAGACCATGCCGGAGCTGGGGGGTTGCTAGCATAAGGCTTGCCCCGAATCACGTGATATAGTAACAGTCTCTTTGGTCAGGAGAATGCTAGGTTAAAACGTGCAAAGCATTGTATTAAGTCGGCGTTCCAGATTTTATTCAAATTTAACTCGCAAATGGCTTATTGAACTTTATTTCCCTTTACAAAAAATCCTCTAGAGCGATGAAGCTGAAAAAGAAGAAGAAATACTCTGCAATTTAATGTAGACAATTCTTATTTTTTGGGACACTAAAACTAAAGTTTCAAACACATTGGTCAAGCTGGGACTCAAACTCTAAATCTGATGGTGTACCGTGTATGCCTACTCATATACATGTGCATGAGGGGGCTATATGATCTTCCAGCTGAAGAATGGAAATAAATGAGAGACAGTTTCATGGCTAAATAAACACTTCTTTACTCCTAATTTATATATTTATACCCGTGTAAATATTATTAACCAATTAAAGGCATATTTTCAAAAGGGTAAACAAGGGCGGATCCAGAGAGGTTAATTTGAGGCTGCAAAAACTACAATTTTACCTTTTAGTGGTCATGATAATATAATATTTTTGTTTTATTAACCACTGAGTGATATTGATAACTCATGGTGCCACACTACTTCCAGAACTGTAAGGTTTGTAAAAAAAACCTCACACTAGTCACAGTTCTGGAAGTAGTGCCACACTACTCCTAGAAGTAGAACTATGATGCTCCGCTCACCATAGTCAGTTCTAGTGCCACACCGCACCGTGCATGCACGGATGACGAACAAGCTGCGAACTTACCTGCACTTCAACACGACGTGCGCACAAAATGATACACTAAACTGTACGTAGTAGGTCTACACTACTCACTAGTCATACGTATGACTTACCTCTCAAAAGCTGTTTTAGTGAAACTTGCGTTGAAAAACAAATAGCTCATTGACTACACATTTTGTGAAGTATGAAAGTCGCATGTCAAAGCGTGTACGTGTGCGACGTACAAGAAGTCTAGATCCGTGGAGGTGGTCACGTTGTTTCGATGCAGCCGAAAAACGTAAACATTTGACAGATGCGCTGCCAGTTTCGAGGCCCTAACTGGTTCCCGCACCATACGGTGATACAACGTACCGAGAAGTGGGAACCACGGGGTGGCAGACCGTGTCGCTAAGCATGCCGGGACGGGACAAGTTCACCTGACGTTAATTGATTGGAAATTACACCGGTTTAACCCGCTCAGCATTTTAACCGCTATATGTGATAATAAAATAACCAGTGTTGTGTGTCGGTGGACCGTTAATTTGTAGCGTGCGTTCAATCCGTGGAATCTATACTTTGTACAACATTATTTTGCGTGTTTTTTTGTTTTTTTTACACTTCACAAAATTTTGAGGAACAGATATGCCATTTTTAGGGGAATTGAGTGGGGCACAATCATGCCACAGAAAAGGCCATAAAAGGGACTTTCCCGAAAGCATACGATTTGGGGAGGGCATTATAGGGTGCGCGCCTGTAAATAGGCCAAAAATCCGTCCGCCGAGCTCATGAATAAAAGTTATACCCTCAAAATATTCTATATTAGAGAGTTTTGAGAGCCATACAATTGGGCAATTGAAGAGATATGGAAATGAACCTCTGGCCCGGACTTGGGGCTTCCAATTCTGAGCATATTGGATGCTATTGGGCTCGAAAGTGGCGCTATTTTGCCATGTTGTGGAGGAATCGTTTTTCAAGATGGCTACTTTTCCGCTTTGGTGAAAATAGGGGTCGTCTTCTTTGGGTGAGAATATCTCAAAAAGTGAAATGTCAACCCACAAAAAAATGAAACGAAAATGACAAATGACACATTGATCATCGTTTTCTGTGCAGCTTGAATACCTGTGAGAGTTTGGAGTATTTTAAAAAGAATTTTGAAGTATGCGAGTTTACCACTAGTGTCTATGAAACTACCTGCATAGGAAATTCTAGACAAACTCTACGTTGTTCGGAAGCTGGCTGAATAGCTCTACAAGCTGCAAAAACAAGCAAGTCTTTAGACCCAAGAACTTGTGGAGAAAATGCAAGATGTAGTCACTCACACCCGCTAGTTGCGTTTTGTGCAGTACATGCCATAGCAAGGCCTGTCAGCGCCATGCAACACCGCCTCTCTATGTCTCGATCCAAAACTACCTTAACATAGGAAATTCTAGACAAACTCTACGTTGTTCGGAAGCTGCTGAATAGCTCTACAAGCTGCAAAAACAAGCAAGTCTTTAGACCCAAGAATTGTGGAGAAAATGCAAGATGTAGTCACTCACACCCGCTAGTTGCGTTTTGTGCAGTACATGCCATAGCAAGGCCTGTCAGCGCCATGCAACACCGCAACACACGCTCTCTATGTCTCGATCCAAAACTACCTTAACATAGGAAATTCTAGACAAACTCTACGTTGTTCGGAAGCTGCTGAATAGCTCTACAAGGCTGCAAAAACAAGCAAGTCTTTAGACCCAAGAATTGTGGAGAAAATGCAAGATGTAGTCACTCACACCCGCTAGTTGCGTTTTGTGCAGTACATGCCATAGCAAGGCCTGTCAGCGCCATGCAACACCGCCTCTCTATGTCTCGATCCAAAACTACCTTAACATAGGAAATTCTAGACAAACTCTACGTTGTTCGGAAGCTGCTGAATAGCTCTACAAGCTGCAAAAACAAGCAAGTCTTTAGACCCAAGAATTGTGGAGAAAATGCAAGATGTAGTCACTCACACCCGCTAGTTGCGTTTTGTGCAGTACATGCCATAGCAAGGCCTGTCAGCGCCATGCAACACCGCCTCTCTATGTCTCGATCCAAAACTACCTTAACATAGGAAATTCTAGACAAACTCTACGTTGTTCGGAAGCTGCTGAATAGCTCTACAAGCTGCAAAAACAAGCAAGTCTTTAGACCCAAGAATTGTGGAGAAAATGCAAGATGTAGTCACTCACACCCGCTAGTTGCGTTTTGTGCAGTACATGCCATAGCAAGGCCTGTCAGCGCCATGCAACACCGCCTCTCTATGTCTCGATCCAAAACTACCTTAACATAGGAAATTCTAGACAAACTCTACGTTGTTCGGAAGCTGCTGAATAGCTCTACAAGGCTGCAAAAACAAGCAAGTCTTTAGACCCAAGAATTGTGGAGAAAATGCAAGATGTAGTCACTCACACCCGCTAGTTGTTTTTGTGCAGTACATGCCATAGCAAGGCCTGTCAGCGCCATGCAACACCGCCTCTCTATGTCTCGATCCAAAACTACCTTAACATAGGAAATTCTAGACAAACTCTACGTTGTTCGGAAGCTGCTGAATAGCTCTACAAGCTGCAAAAACAAGCAAGTCTTTAGACCCAAGAATTGTGGAGAAAATGCAAGATGTAGTCACTCACACCCGCTAGTTGCGTTTTGTGCAGTACATGCCATAGCAAGGCCTGTCAGCGCCATGCAACACCGCCTCTCTATGTCTCGATCAAAACTACCTTAACATAGGAAATTCTAGACAAACTCTACGTTGTTCGGAAGCTGCTGAATAGCTCTACAGGCTGCAAAAACAAGCAAGTCTTTAGACCCAAGAATTGTGGAGAAAATGCAAGATGTAGTCACTCACACCCGCTAGTTGCGTTTTGTGCAGAGTACATGCCATAGCAAGGCCTGTCAGCGCCATGCAACACCGCCTCTCTATGTCTCGATCCAAAACTACCTTAACATAGGAAATTCTAGACAAACTCTACGTTGTTCGGAAGCTGCTGAATAGCTCTACAAGCTGCAAAAACAAGCAAGTCTTTAGACCCAAGAATTGTGGAGAAAATGCAAGATGTAGTCACTCACACCCGCTAGTTGCGTTTTGTGCAGTACATGCCATAGCAAGGCCTGTCAGCGCCATGCAACACCGCCTCTCTATGTCTCGATCCAAAACTACCTTAACATAGGAAATTCTAGACAAACTCTACGTTGTTCGGAGCTGCTGAATAGCTCTACAAGCTGCAAAACAAGCAAGTCTTTAGACCCAAGAATTGTGGAGAAAATGCAAGATGTAGTCACTCACACCCGCTAGTTGCGTTTTGTGCAGTACATGCCATAGCAAGGCCTGTCAGCGCCATGCAACACGCCTCTCTATGTCTCGATCCAAAACTACCTTAACATAGGAAATTCTAGACAAACTCTACGTTGTTCGGAAGCTGCTGAATAGCTCTACAAGCTGCAAAAACAAGCAAGTCTTTAGACCCAAGAATTGTGGAGAAAATGCAAGATGTAGTCACTCACACCCGCTAGTTGCGTTTTGTGCAGTACATGCCATAGCAAGGCCTGTCAGCGCCATGCAACACCGCCTCTCTATGTCTCGATCCAAAACTACCTTAACATAGGAAATTCTAGACAAACTCTACGTTGTTCGGAAGCTGCTGAATAGCTCTACAGGCTGCAAAAACAAGCAAGTCTTTAGACCCAAGAATTGTGGAGAAAATGCAAGATGTAGTCACTCACACCCGCTAGTTGCGTTTTGTGCAGTACATGCCATAGCAAGGCCTGTCAGCGCCATGCAACACCGCCTCTCTATGTCTCGATCCAAAACTACCTTAACATAGGAAATTCTAGACAAACTCTACGTTGTTCGGAAGCTGCTGAATAGCTCTACAAGCTGCAAAAACAAGCAAGTCTTTAGACCCAAGAATTGTGGAGAAAATGCAAGATGTAGTCACTCACACCCGCTAGTTGCGTTTTGTGCAGTACATGCCATAGCAAGGCCTGTCAGCGCCATGCAACACCGCCTCTCTATGTCTCGATCCAAAACTACCTTAACATAGGAAATTCTAGACAAACTCTACGTTGTTCGGAAGCTGCTGAATAGCTCTACAGCTGCAAAAACAAGCAAGTCTTTAGACCCAAGAATTGTGGAGAAAATGCAAGATGTAGTCACTCACACCCGCTAGTTGCGTTTTGTGCAGTACATGCCATAGCAAGGCCTGTCAGCGCCATGCAACACCGCCTCTCTATGTCTCGATCCAAAACTACCTTAACATAGGAAATTCTAGACAAACTCTACGTTGTTCGGAAGCTGCTGAATAGCTCTACAAGCTGCAAAAACAAGCAAGTCTTTAGACCCAAGAATTGTGGAGAAAATGCAAGATGTAGTCACTCACACCCGCTAGTTGCGTTTTGTGCAGTACATGCCATAGCAAGGCCTGTCAGCGCCATGCAACACCGCCTCTCTATGTCTCGATCCAAAACTACCTTAACATAGGAAATTCTAGACAAACTCTACGTTGTTCGGAAGCTGCTGAATAGCTCTACAAGCTGCAAAAACAAGCAAGTCTTTAGACCCAAGAATTGTGGAGAAAATGCAAGATGTAGTCACTCACACCCGCTAGTTGCGTTTTGTGCAGTACATGCCATAGCAAGGCCTGTCAGCGCCATGCAACACCGCCCTCTCTATGTCTCGATCCAAAACTACCTTAACATAGGAAATTCTAGACACAACTCTACGTTGTTCGGAAGCTGCTGAATAGCTCTACAAGCTGCAAAAACAAGCAAGTCTTTAGACCCAAGAATTGTGGAGAAAATGCAAGATGTAGTCACTCACACCCGCTAGTTGCGTTTTGTGCAGTACATGCCATAGCAAGGCCTGTCAGCGCCATGCAACACCGCCTCTCTATGTCTCGATCCAAAACTACCTTAACATAGGAAATTCTAGACAAACTCTACGTTGTTCGGAAGCTGCTGAATAGCTCTACAAGCTGCAAAAACAAGCAAGTCTTTAGACCCAAGAATTGTGGAGAAAATGCAAGATGTAGTCACTCACACCCGCTAGTTGCGTTTTGTGCAGTACATGCCATAGCAAGGCCTGTCAGCGCCATGCAACACCGCCTCTCTATGTCTCGATCCAAAACTACCTTAACATAGGAAATTCTAGACAAACTCTACGTTGTTCGGAAGCTGCTGAATAGCTCTACAAGCTGCAAAAACAAGCAAGTCTTTAGACCCAAGAATTGTGGAGAAAATGCAAGATGTAGTCACTCACACCCGCTAGTTGCGTTTTGTGCAGTACATGCCATAGCAAGGCCTGTCAGCGCCATGCAACACCGCCTCTCTATGTCTCGATCCAAAACTACCT